AAAAAATCTCCATTCTTTCTCACAAACTCCTTAACGTCATTCTTTTGGGCTACTGACAAGGTTTCAGTTCTAGGTACCTGAGGTGCCATGGGGACCATATCCTTTTGGGGGCTTGGTACTGCCAGTAAACGCTCTCTATCTAGGTATTAAGAAATTAACATGATATTTGCTCAGGTTTCCTTTTCCCTGGCTGGTAAAACTTTATAGTTTACTTAACCTACTTTCTCCCTAATCTCAAAAGGGACCTTGCCATTTTGCGAGGAATTTACTCTCCACAGTAGGAACTAGCACCAGCACTATCAACACTATCAACAGGGTTGAAAGTACGGATCCTGGCGCCCCGGTTATAAACCCTTCTCTGGGCCTCCTGGGCTTGCTCCATATGTTCCCGTACGAGCGGCATGATGGCTGCAATTCTATCCTGCATCTGTGAGATATGCTCGATGATGCTTCTATAGGGCGTGGTCTCTCCCTCCCATGTTTCTTTCCAGACAACTAACAACCCCCTGGGATGTCTACCATACAGTAGTTCAAAAGGCGAGTACCCTGTAGACTACTGAGGTATTTCTTGCATAGCAAACATGAGGTACGGTAACAAAAAAATCCCAATCTCTCCAATCTTTGGCCACCACCTTTAACATATTCTTAAGCGCCTTGTTAAATCTCTCCACAAGACCATTGGTTTGAGGGTGGTAGACCGAGGTACGGAGATGGGAGATTTTGAACAACTTGCATAATTCTTTCATGACTCTGGACATAAATGGCATGCCCTGATCCATTAATATCTCTTTTGGAATACCCACATGATCAAATACCTGGACAAGCTCTCTCGCAATAGTCTTAGCAGAGGTATTACGCAAGGGAATGGCTTCAGGATACCGGGTGGCATAGTCCAGTATAACCAGTATCTGCTAATGGCCCTGGGCAGACTTTACTACTGGACCCACTAGATCCATGCCCACTCTTTCAAAAGGTACTTCAATTATGGGTAAAGGTACCAGTGGACTGCGAAAAATGGGGCGAAGGTGCAGAATACTGATAGATATTCTGGGCATGACTCACAATACTCTTTGACATCTGCATGTAAACCAGGCCAAAAGAATCTCTGGGGTATCCTCTCCTTAGTTTTCTCTATACCCAGCTGTCCACTCATTATCTGCCCATGGGCTAAATCTAGTACCATCCGGTGAAAGGGTTGGGGACCACTAGCTGCTCCACCACCTCTTCCTCTTACTTTACCACTTGATACAGCAAGCTATTTTTAAGAGCCATGTAGGGAAAAGACACTCCTACACCAGTTTCAACCGGTTCCCCATCAAACATTTTAATGTTTTCTCGGGCTCTATTAAGTGTGAAGCAGGAGCGGACTGACCATTTGGAAACTCGGGCACTGCCCGAGGGCCCAGGGTCAGTAGGGGGCCCCATGAGATGCCCCTGGTACCTTTTCATAGGCTTTTTTGAATTTAGGACAGGACACAGGGGCCCCATGATCCCCTATTGCCCGGGGGCCCCATGAGTTGTCAGTCCGCCCTTGGTGTGAAGCTTTTCAGTTGTTCCGTACAAAAATCCTGTTTTCCAACCTCTAGGTCAGGCACCACATTCTGTCCACTTCATTAGAGCAGGAGATAATCTCTTGTTCAGTATCCTAAACCTCTGGGTTGGAATCCAGCTCCTCCTACTCCCCATCCCTTACAGAGAAAGGGAAAGGATCTACCACTACCTTGGACACACCAACAGTTTCCGCTTCAACAAAGGGGTCAGGAATGAGTTCAGGTGTTTCCCCAGCAGGGGGAGCTCGGTCCACCTGACTCCTCTCCCTTTCCCACAACCTCCAGAAATAGGAAAAATCTCTCCCCACTATGGCTTCATGAAGTAGTGAAGGTACCACTCCCACTGAATGTGTCACAGGGCCCCAGGGAGTATCAATCTCAAGCAGTCTGGTAGTTCCGTGTATCACCATGCATACAAATAACCACAATAGTGCTAGGGTGTAACCTTGCAGGGTTTACAAAATCACCTTTGACTAAGGTCACAACACTACCAGAGTCTAGCAGAGCAGTTACTGGCTTTTCATGAATTGCAATCACACACATTTGCTTTTCCATGCATTCCTGACATGCTGCAGTACATACCATTTGTGCAAAAAGAGACATGCGTTTTATTAAGTAGGCATTTTCACATTGCATAGGTTCAAGGAACAGTTTGCAGCAAAAAGACCTAATGCATGGCAATGATAACACTTTATAGATGCTGCACCCAGACCTCTAAACGGCCTCAGGGACCTTCCTGACCTATTTGGTCAATCTCCAGGTCCTGAGCCCACAGTCTCACTATCTGAAACAACAGTCTTCTAAATTTTCCCTGAGCCTTTGACCCCTGAACCAGTCTTACCAGATCCTTCGGGCAGTTTTTCACCCCTAGTGACATTGGGGGGGTAGGGCATGGATGAGTGCAACAAGTCCTCAGCGGCTATACATCTCTCCACCAGGGAGCGCACGTAGATATCAGTCCATGACCACAAGCTCCACAGCCTGAGGAGCTGACAACATCTCTGGCTGGAGCCACTTCCTGGTGAGATGTATCAAGTCAAACATTTGGGAGCAGGGTGGCTTGTTAGTACTGTAATACCACTGATTCACCCATTGAGCCCGGACTGCAAAGGTGATGCCCAGGCGTGCAAGGACCTCAGCCTTCAGCTTCTCATAAACCTGGGCAGCATCTGGTTCAGGGTCATAATAGGCTTTTTGAGGTTTATCTGTCAAAAATGGTGCAAGCAGTCCTGCCCATTGCTCTTTTTGCCATCCTTCCCGAACAGCAACTCTTTCAAAAGTTGTGAGGTAGGCTTCCACATCATCTGCAAGCGTCAACTTTTGCAGAAAATAGCTGGCCCGCACCATTTTCTGTTTCACTGGCAGCGGTCCTGCGGACTCCTTCTTTAATTCCACTTGGTGTTGGGACACCTCCTTAAGGACCTCTCGGTCTGCTTGTTGGGCCTCTGCAAACTGGCGATTTGCCTCTGCGAACTGGCAATTGGTTTCCTGCTGGGTTGCCGTGGCCTGCAGCAAGGCTCTTATCAAGTCCTCCATCTTCCCACTTGCTCAGGAAGTCACCTGCCAAATCCAACATATGTGAGGGTAGCTCAGGTGGGGGATCACCTTCCCTGGCAAACAGGTAGTCCAGCAGCAGGGCTTTCTTAAAATCTGATATGTCGTCACTTTTATTTACAAGATTGCAAGTATCATAAACAAAAACAAAACAGAAAAATAAACCCTCCCATCCAGGCATTAACTAAACATAGGAGATTCCTGTCTCAATGGTGAAGGGCTTCTCCCTGTCACCAACAAAATCAGCAGTATGCAAACCTTTTCCTTTCTTGTACAATGCAAAACTTTCATCCAAAGCTCACTCAGATATGGCTCTCTGAGTCCCAGGCCAAAAGCAACTTCTTGCTCCAGTCCTGTCCAATTTATACCACCTGCTGGTGGTCATCAGTGGACTACAAAATCCGGTCCAGAACCACCTCTGCCATAGTGGTCCAGAAATCCCAGCGTAGACTTCACCCTAATCGCCCAGATATGATCACATGTGAGGCAACACATAGCATCCATCGATCACCTCACCTTTTATACTGTCACTATATATATATATATATATATATATATATTTATATATATACACATACATACATACATACATACGTACACTATATTGCCAAAGGTATTGGGATGCCTGCCTTTACTTGCACATGAACTTTAATGGCATCCCAGTCTTAGTCCGTAGAATTTAATATGTTGGCCCACTCTTTGCAGCTAGCACAGCTTCAACTCTTCTGGGAAGGCTGTCCACAAGGTTTAAGAGTGTGTCTATGGGAATGTTTGACATTCTTCAAGAAGCACATTTATGATATCAAGCACTGATGTTGGACGAGAAGGCCTGGCTCGCAGTCTCCACTCTAATTCATCCCAAAGATGTTCTATCAGGTTGAGGTCAGGACCCTGTGCAGGCCAGTCAAATTCCTCCACCCCAGATTCACTCATCTATGGACCTTACTTTGTGAACTGATGAGCAGGCATGTTGGAACAGGAAATGGCCAAACTTTTCCCACAAAGATGGGAGCATGAAATTGTCCAAAATGTCTTGGTATGCTGAATCCTGAAGAGTTCCCTTCACTGGAACAAAGGGGCCAAGCCCAACCCTTGAAAAAGAACCCCACATTTTAATCTCCCTGGACCAAACTTTACACTTGGCACAATGCAGTCAGGCAAGTATCGTTCTCCTGGCAGCTGCCAAGCCCAGACATGTCCATGGGATTGCCAGACAGAGAAGTGTGATTCGTCACGCCAGAGAAAATGTCTAGACTGCTCTAGAGTCTACAGGTGGCATGCTTTACACCACTGCATCGATGCTTTGCATTGCACTTGGTGATGTAAGGCTTGGATGCTGCTGCTTGGCCATGGAAACCCATTCCATGAAGCTCTCTATACACTGTTGTTGTGCTAATCTTAATGCCACATGAAGTTTGGAGGTCTTTAGTAGAGATGAGCGAAGTATTCAAAAATTCGATTCGGCTGATTCGGCGAATTCGTGGAAAAATTTCGATTCGAGTCGAATATATTCGCTGCAAATTAAACTGATAAAAGGGTGTTTCTAGGCTTCAGAGAGCCTTTATATTAGTGCAGAACACTGTACCTTTAATTTAAATGCCCTTGGAGTCTGCGGGGGAAGAGAAATAATACTGACAGTCAGTATGACATGCAGATGAGTGCCGTCGATCTTAGAATCACCGCACACTTCACTCATTTGGGCAGTCACGGGGCCAAAACCAGAGTGTGGAGCCACAGTGTGGCGGTGGAGGCAGCAGCAATGGGAGGCCATACAGCACCCTATGACAAAAATGGAAACCACCAGCAGTGTGAGGAGACCTGAAAGTGGCACATGGCAGAGTGTGACGACGGAGACAGCAGCAATGGGAGGCCGTACAGGGACCCATGACACACTCTGGACCTGGCAGCAGCATGAGGAGGTGGTACAGGGGCCCATGACAGATTACGGGCCTGGCAGCAGCATGAGGAGTTGGTACGGGGGCCCATGGCAGATTACGGGCCTGGCAGCAGCAATGGGAGGCCGTACAGGGACCCATGACACACTCTGGACCTGGCAGCAGCATGAGGAGGCGGTACAGGGGCCCATGACAGATTACGGGCCTGGCAGCATCATGAGGAGTCGGTACGGGGGTCCATGACACACTCTGGACCTGGCAGCAGCATGAGGAGGCGGTACAGGGGCGCATGACAAATTACGAGCCTGGCAGCAGCAACTTGGAAAGGAGGATGTTCAGCTTCTGCACCGTCGGGTGCGTGCTCGCAAACTGTTGTCTCTTGGAAACGGATTCCAAGAAAGACTGCTGACGGAATCCGTGAAGAGGAGTAGCACGAGAAGGAGCATTTGAACGAGCGGAATATGCCAACAAGCGACAACAGGGGCCCATGACAGATTACGGGCCTGGCAGCAGCATGAGGAGTCGGTACGGGGGCCCATGGCAGATTACGGGCCTGGCAGCAGTAATGGGGGGCCCGTAATCTGCCAGCACCCTATGACAAAAAATGGAACACACCAGCAGTGTGTGAGGAGACCTGAAAGTGGCACATGGCAGAGTGTGGCGATGGAGACAGCAGCAATGGGAGGCCGTACAGGGACCCATGAGAGACTCTGGACCTGGCAGCAGCATGAGGAGGTGGTACAGGGGCCCATGGCAGATTAGGGGCCTGGCAGCAGCTATGGGAGGCCCGTAATCTGCCAGCACCCTATGACAAAAAATGGAACACACCAGCAGTGTGAGGAGACCTGAAAGTGGCACATGTTTGGGGCATGATTCATGGCGGATTTAGTCAGTTGTGTCAGGAACTGGTGGTTTGAAATCCAGACTAATCCACGCCTGATTCATTTTCACAAATGTGAGTCTCTCCACACTTTGGGTGGACAGTCGTGTCCTCCGCGGAGTTACAATACCTCCTGCCGCACTAAACACGCGCTCCGATGCCACGCTACTGGCCGGGCATGACAGCCTTTCAAGGGCAAATTCAGCTAGTTGGGGCCAAAGGTCAAGTTTCGTTGCCCAGTAGTCAAGGGGGTTGTCTACCTCGGTTGGCAGGGTGCTGTCCAAGTAGGCCTAAGCCTGTTGTTTGAGGTCCTGCTCCAGGTCCACCTGATGCTGCTGCGCTGCGGCTGGTTAGTAGTTTCCTCACTGCGCTGGTGAAGAAAGCTACTCATCATCGACTGCAGACTGAGGCAGCTGCTGCTGGTGGAGCTGCCACTGCTCCTACCACCCCACCCCTCCCTGCTGCCATGGCAGCGGAACGCGAGCGCACAGGGCCCACAGTGTCTGAGGATGGACGTTGGCGCAGAAAGGCAGAGACCAGCTGACTACATAGGTGGATTTTATAGTACGTTATTTTGGCCTCCCTCTCAGCAGGTGTGAAAAAGGCCACCATTTTTGAACGGTAGCGAGGGTCCAACAAGGTGGACAGCCAAAAGTCATCCCTCTGTCTGATGGTTATTATTCGGCTGTCGCTACGCAAGCAAGCGAGCATGCTATGGGCCATTTGTGCCAAGGAATGCGAGGGACTCCCTGCCTCCATCTCCACAGCATACTGCCACGGTGCGTCTGGGTCCTCTGTCTCCTCCTCCTACTCCTCTACCAGATGCTCCTGCTCCTCCACTCCTGTCCGCTGAGTGGAAAAACCACCCATTTCACTCAATAATTCCTGAGCATGAGGAGGCGGTATAGGGGCCCATGGCAGATTAGGGGCCTGGCAGCAGCTATGGGAGGCCCGTAATCTGCCAGCACCCTATGACAAAAAATGGAACACACCAGCAGTGTGAGGAGACCTGAAAGTGGCACATGGCAGAGGTGGATGATGCACAGCAGCAATGGGAGGCCGTACAGGGACCCATGAGAGACTCTGCCGACTTGGCAGCAGCATGAGGAGGCAGGTACAGGGGCCCATGGCAGATTAGGGGCCTGGCAGCAGCTATGGGAGGCCCGTAATCTGCCAGCACCCTATGACAAAAAATGGAACACACCAGCAGTGTGAGGAGACCTGAAAGTGGCACATGGCAGAGTGTGGCGATGGAGACAGCAATGTGGCAGTAAGGGACCCATGAGAGACTCTGGACTTGGCAGCAGCATGAGGAGGCGGGTACAGGGGCCCATGGCAGATTAGGGGCCTGGCAGCAGCTATGGGAGGCCCGTAATCTGCCAGCACCCTATGACAAAAAATGGAACACACCAGCAGTGTGAGGAGACCTGAAAGTGGCACATGGCAGAGTGTGGCGATGGAGACAGTAGCAATGGGAGGCAGTACAGGGACCCATGAGAGACTCTGGACTTGGCAGCAGCATGAGGAGGCGGTATAGGGGCCCATGGCAGATTAGGGGCCTGGCAGCAGCTATGGGAGGCCCGTAATCTGCCAGCACCCTATGACAAAAAATGGAACACACCAGCAGTGTGAGGAGACCTGAAAGTGGCACATGGCAGAGTGTGGCGATGGAGACATGGGAGACAGGGACCCATGTGAACTCTGGCAGCAGCATGAGGAGGCGGTATAGGGGCCCATGGCAGATTAGGGGCCTGGCAGCAGCTATGGGAGGCCCGTAATCTGACAGCACCCTATGACAAAAAATGGAACACACCAGCAGTGTGAGGAGACCTGAAAGTGGCACATGGCATGAGACACTGTGGACCTGGCAGCAGCATGAGGAGGCGGTATAGGGGCCCATGGCAGACTAGGGGCCTGGCAGCAGCTATGGGAGGCCCGTAATCTGCCAGCACCCTTGACAAAAAATTGAACACACCAGCAGTGTGAGGAGACCTGAAAGTGGCACATGGCAGAGTGTGGCGATGGAGACAGCAGCAATGGGAGGCCGTACAGGGACCCATGAGAGACTCTGGAACCTGGCAGCAGCATGAGGAGGCGGTATAGGGGCCCATGGCAGATTAGGGGGCCTGGCAGCAGCTATGGGAGGCCCGTAATCTGCCAGCACCCTATGACAAAAAATGGAACACACCAGCAGTGTGAGGAGACCTGAAAGTGGCACATGGCAGAGTGTGGCGATGGAGACAGCAGCAATGGGGGCCGTACAGGGACCCATGAGACACTCTGGACCTGGCAGCAGCATGAGGAGGCGGTATAGGGGCCCATGGCAGATTAGGGGCCTGGCAGCAGCTATGGGAGGCCCGTAATCTGCCAGCACCCTATGACAAAAAATTGAACACACCAGCAGTGTGAGGAGACCTGAAAGTGGCACATGGCAGAGTGTGGCGATGGAGACAGCAGCAATGGGAGGCCGTACAGGGACCCATGAGAGACTCTGGACCTGGCAGCAGCATGAGGAGGCGGTATAGGGGCCCATGGCAGATTAGGGGCCTGGCAGCAGCTATGGGAGGCCCGTAATCTGCCAGCACCCTATGACAAAAAATGGAACACACCAGCAGTGTGAGGAGACCTGAAAGTTGCACATGGCAGAGTGTGGCGATGGAGACAGCAGCAATGGGAGGCCGTACAGGGACCCATGAGACACTGTGGACCTGGCAGCAGCATGAGGAGGCGGTACAGGGGCCCATGGCAGATTAGGGGCCTGGCAGCAGCTATGGGAGGCCCGTAATCTGCCAGCACCCTATGACAAAAAATGGAACACACCAGCAGTGTGAGGAGACCTGAAAGTGTGCGATGGAGACAGCCAATGGGAGACAGGGGACCCATGAGACACTGTGGACCTGGCAGCAGCATGAGGAGGCGGTACAGGGGCCCATGGCAGATTAGGTGCCTGGCAGCAGCTATGGGAGGCCCGTAATCTGCCAGCACCCTATGACAAAAAATGGAACACACCAGCAGTGTGTGAGGAGACCTGAAAGTGGCACATGGCAGAGTGTGGCGATGGAGACAACCCACCGACTGTTTTGCTCACTGCCAAGCTGCCACCCTCTTCTCCTGATGATGCGGAAGCAATAGCCTGATGACGACGAGGCTGCCAAGTGCGATCAGCCTCATCATCATCAATTAGGGTCTCCGCCTCACTACTAGCCCCCTCGGCTGCGTGTGGGTCAAGAGACAGACCTGTCTCTAGACCGGCTACCGAGCCACTCTCCTCGCCACTACTTCTTCGCCTGGCTGCTGAAGAGGCGGATGTCTCCCCCAGTTCCTGACCGCCCTCTGTTAGCTCTTCCTCACTGTACTGGATGACACCGGGAGCACTGGCCTCTGGCTACGAATAGTGCTGCCTCGACCCCTTCCTCTGCTGCCACGTCTGCTCGCTCCTAAAACATTGCCTCCTCTGCCACTCCTCTGCATGTTGTATGACATACTCTTTAATTAAACGATTCTGTGTCCCTGAGTAACAATTCTGTGTCTGTCCCTGAGTAAAAATTCTGTGTCCCTGAGTAACGTTTCTGTCGCCCTAAGTAACGGTTCTGTGGCCCTCAGTAACAATTCTGTGTCCCTCAGTAACAATTCTGTGTCCCTGAGTAACGGTTCTGTGGCCCTAAGTAACGGTTCTGTGGCCCTCAGTAACAATTCTGTGTCCCTCAGTAACAATTCTGTGTCTGTCCCTAAGTAACAATTCTGTGGCTCTAAGTAAGGGTTCTGTGGCCTCAGTAACAATTCTGTGTCTGTCCCTAAGTAACGATTCTGTGGCCCTAAGTAACGAATTCTGTGGCCCCTAAGTAACGTTTCTGTGGCCCTCAGTAACGGTTCTGTGGCCCTCAGTAACAATTCTGTGTCCCTCAATAACAATTCTGTGTCTGTCCCTAAGTAACGTTTCTGTGGCCCTAAGTAACGATTCTGTGGCCCTCAGTAACAATTCTGTGTCTGTCCCTGAGTAACAATTCTGTGTCCCTAAGTAACGTTTCTGTGGCCCTAAGTAACGATTCTGTGGCCCTAAGTAACGTTTCTGTGGCCCTAAGTAACGTTTCTGTGGCCCTAAGTAACGTTTCTGTGGCCCTAAGTAACGATTCTGTGGCCCTCAGTAACAAATCTGTGTCCCTCAGTAACAATTCTGTGTCTGTCCCTAAGTAACAATTCTGTGGCCCTAAGTAACGTTTCTGTGGCCCTAAGTAACGATTCTGTGGCCCTCAGTAACAATTCTGTATCCCTCAGTAACAATTCTGTCTGTCCCTGAGTAACAATTCTGTGTCCCTAAGTAACGTTTCTGTGGCCCTAAACTAACGTTTCTGTGGCCCTAAGTAACGTTTCTGTGGCCCTAAGTAACGATTCTGTGGCCCTAACTAACGTTTCTCTGTCCCTAACTCTCTCCCTGAATACAGCCAGGTCTGCCTCTGTTGAATGACTGGAGGCAAATGGAGAATTCTAAAATGGCCGCCATTTATAGCTCGACCATTACACAGTGCTGGCTGGCTGGCTGCTGATTGGCTAATGCGATCACATGTCATGAATGAATGCATTATGGGTCAGCGCGCCTTGTCTGCGGGCCTTCCCAGACATCCCCGCTCCGTCGCTGCACAT